GGGGGTTATTGAGTTGCATACCAGCCAAATAAAGACATCAGTGCCATGATCAAGAACAACTGCAGCGTCAGATTGCATAGCAAGGTCATAAGCCGGAAGTTCCTCAAAAGTTCCACCTTCCCGGTGCATTAGACAGCGAGGTGCCACCATACGAAGAGATAGATCGAAGGATGCATTGAGGAACAAGCTCCGCAGCACAGACCTCTCATCTTCATGACCAAGTATACTTCCGAGAAGTGGGCCTCTTCTGAGATGGAATAGCAGTTCAGGCAATAAAGAGAGCTCCTTGGGAAACCGATAAAGCTTTGACTTGGGCATTTGGGAGCCGAACTTATTAGCAATATCTTTAACTCTCTCATCTATCATTTTTCGCATATCAAGAGCATCAGCTGAGTCTTTGGCTCGTAAAAGAGTTCTCTTAGCAATAAGAACCACAGCTACTTCATCCTGAACACTCTCTAGATATGCTGAAACACTATCTACGGTAGGCAATCTAACAGTAATCACTCTTGAGACATCAGCTTGATAGATATTTGAATATTGAATAGCAAACTGAAAGTACACAAAATCACTCTTGATGTCTCCACTAGTCTCCAATGATACTGCAAAACTTTGTGTTTCTTCAACACTAAGCATCTGTATTGCAAGAGCACCGTCATTCTTAAATGTTTCTTGACTGTCTGTGTGTGCTTCCTCACCAGGACCTACCACCTTACTAACAAAAATATTATCTGAACAACGGATTTCCAATAAACCATGGGAACCTGCAGCCCTTGTAGATGCCCTCTGCAAGTTCACACCAAATGCTTCTCCAAAGTCATCGTGGAGAATGAAAACACCACCGGACGCTTTTGCAAGAGGCAGCAAAACAGGAACTCTTATTGGACATGTTCCGGCACATAGTAGATCAACCACTGTGTTACGTCTGTGAGCATCACGGCCTAGATTCTCCATCCACTTCAACGCTATTTTCTCCATATGTGGGTAGTTTGGATGACTGAGAGAATAAGGAACAGAACCAGGACCGAAAGTACTGGGTCCACCAGCGCACACAATTATTCTGCTATTTCCACCAGGCCTTTTAACAACCCCTCTGGACATTTCTGCTGAGGGCCCCTGAATTATGGCCATGGCAACCTCCACTGCTGTACCTAAGCAGCGGTCCCTGGAAGCTTCAGGTAGATTCAATTTATATGGCCTTAACGATGAAAAAATAGCATGAGCAACAGGGAGGGAAGCATGAATAGGAGACAAATATATCCCGGTCCCATAGATCAAAGCTTTTAAGGACTCCTGACTGGGTGATCTGTCACCGGGAAGTACATCTGCAGATGCAGTTGATTCTTCTGAAAAATCATACACAGAAACTGTGCGGCCATAGAGCACAATCCCTAGTCTTGTTGTTGGGGGCAAAGAATCAACAAATGCATGCAAGGAGCTTTGTAAATGCTGCAGGTGTGGCTCATCTAAACACTCATCTATTACCAGAACTATAGGAGCTGACATTCTAGATTCAGACACAGGAATAAAGCCAGGTCTTTTGTTCCCAGTCTGGACGTAATCGACCAAAGGAGAGGATAGTTCTGGCAAATTTCGAAGCTCTTCCTTGCTGGGAGCTATATATTCCCCTTCGCTTCCATTCAAATTTCGGCAAATTACACATTGCCACTGGCCTGAGCCAAGTAAAATATTGCAGTAGAGATTGGCATAAGCTCCACAATTCTGGCAGCGATGAGGGTCACGTTGTATTATTTGAGGACCTGGTGAAACCTCCCTTCCTGGAGAAACTAATGCCCCAAAACCTAAACTGGGTACATTGGCTAGTTTCTTCTGTTTCAGCACCTACAGAAGTAAACATGGGCAAGTCAAACAATAAGAGACACGCATGCAGCTCATCTTATGAGAAACAGAATATTGTTGAGAATTAGATTGAAAAGCCAAGGCATAACAGTCACCAGTCAAATTATGCATCTAAAGATGAGAAGTAACAATATTCTGTGTGAAATGTTTTGAAGGACATGAAACATGTCTGGTTGACATTTATATGTTACTTTCCATAAAAAACTGAAGACAATCCGACCTAGTTATATAACATTTTCCCAATTTACAAATTTAAACAACCACGTAGCATTGGTTCGTTGTAACTGATTAGGTAAGGATAAAGTTATACCTTGTGAGCTGAGAATAAAACATTTGGAGATTCTGCAACATGAGCCAATTCCTCTGTAACGTCAGAAATTTGGTGCTGCAACTGAGCTGACCCATTGGAAAAATGGGGAGGCGATGATGTAGGTAAAGACGAGCCCAAGGAGAATGCTACAGGCTGAGGAGACGCGGGAGAAGTTCTGAATGGAACGGCAGCTGGTTGGAGAGGCGAAGAGAACACAGGAGGGCCAGGTGGAGTGCTCATTCGAGGAACAGGGCTACCTGTTCGGATTCCATTTGCTGGTGATGGTAAATTTGGAGTCTTCATTGACGGAGAAGGAATCTGGTTTGATTGTATAAATGGTGGAGGAGGAAATCTTGGCCCTGATGGAGATGGTGATGGTGATGATGATGGTGGTGGTGTAGGGAAAGGAGGGGTGCCCAATTTTGTATCTGGGCGTGCTGATGGGGTGCCTGGGCTAGGAGTCATAGTAACAGAATGCCCAACGGAAGATTGCGGTTGACTGGCCATACGGACGTTGATGTAATCCCAAAAACTTCAGTCCCAGTTTCAAGATTTTCAAATTTCACCTCTACAGTTAGCCCTAGAAATCATTACCCACTATACAATCTTTTGATAGTCCATGAATTTCAAAAAATTTCCCAAAAACTCTCAATCGAGATAAATTTTGGTAACCAAAAATTTATGAAGTCGGAATATGGAACCTTAAATTCCCGAGGAGATCAACAATAATGGGTATTTAACTAAAACAGACAAAGAATTACAAGGCCAGTTCTGCCCACGATCTGCAACCCAAGGTTTCACCTTTCAGACAAAAAAATGGAAATACAAATTAAGAATCATTAAAGATGAGCAACCAACCTCTTAATTGATAAATCTTGTAAAGATTGTCGAAGAATTAATTAACTGAGAATTCAATTCAAGCTGAATCTTGAGGTGTATTGGCGTCAAGGTAACAATAGAAAGAGGCAAGTGCGTGAAAATGAACACGAGTAAAAAAGCATACCTGTGGATTAAACCTTTCGTGGTCCCCCTCGCTAAAAATATTTCGAGGTGTTTTCTTGAGAGATTCTTCTTAGAGAGGGGAGAGCGTTTGGTTAATGCCGCTGCACTAGTCTTACTATGTGTTGAGCTGGCAGTAACTCCGCACATTATTGGCGGATGAAACGAGGCAGTGTCCACCAGGGACTATGCTCCACACTAAACGGTGACGTTTTGTCAATACCACAGCCCGCGCACATTTTTTATTGTTCATGTCAGACTGTTATATTTTATTGTGCTACGTGTAAATGGGAAATACATGAAAATGACTCAAATAGGAAAGCCATTTTTCCAAAATAGCCTTTAGCTAATTTTGGTACCCAAAATACCCCTTTATAATATTACATAATAATTTAATGAAATATAAAAATCTTTCAATTTAGTCCTTAAAAAATCAAATACTTCTTGAATTTTAATAGATTACCAATTTATTAGATTTATGTTCGTTCTAAGTAGCACCCCTATTTATGTTATTAGATTTATTTGATTTATATTCGCTCTAAGTAGCACCTCCATTTATTGGTATCAGAGCCATAGATATCATGAAAATTAAAATAAAAAAAATAAATAACTATTGGTGTTTAGAAGAAGACGGAGGAAGTTATATATTTTTAAAACATCTTCATAATAAATTAAAAATAATGACTTTGATAATAATTAAAGAACTTCCTAAAAAAATAAAAGAACAAATATTAGAAAAATTAATAATAGACACAATAAAGGGTATATATACATATGAGAAAATTATTAATATATATGAGGATGAAGAAAATAATTTATATTATAAAGAAAAATATTAGTACAATTGATAATACATATCAAAAATTAAATAAATTACTTTTAAAAATGAATAAAATACAAGAAGAAATAGGAAATATAATGTTAATACCAGAAGGAATGAGAATACCAAATAATAAACAATTAATAAAACTAAAATGTGAAAGAATAAGATTGGAAAGCAAATATTTTACTATAGTTAAAGAAGAATTAGTAGATCCAGAAATAGTTGAGAGAAGATTTAGAAAAATAATAGATAAAAAAGAAGATAAAAGATGCAAATTAACTTATGAGTTAAAAATAAGAAAAAATTGAGATATTAATAAATGAATATATGGAAGAATTAAAATCATTAATAAAAATGTCAATAAATGATGTACAAGAATTGAGAAATGAAGTAAAATAAACAAAAAATGATATAAAAATATTAAAAATTGAGATTAAAGAATTAAAAGAAAATAACAAGAATAAAGATAAAAAAAATAGATAAAAAACTTATAAAAAAAGAGATGACTCGAATAGGAAAGAAACGTATAGAAAAAGAAAATATAGTAATAGAAACAGGGAGCATGGATGATGAATTTAGAAAAAATATATTACCAAAGATATTAGAAAAAGAATAAGAATTTAGAGAAAAATCATTAGGAAAATTAAAAATAGAAGAAAAAGATGATAAAAATGAATGAAGAGTTAAATTTGCTAATAGAAAATTTTGATCAATTAAGTCTAACTGATATAAGTGAATATCAAATTTTAATGAATACTGGAGGAGAATCTAATCCAGTAGGAACCTCTAAACAAGAATTACATGATACAGATGAAAGTTATGCACCCATATATATAATAAATCATATAGACAATTTTATGATAAAGTAAGAGATAGGCAACCACCTAAAGGAAATAAATATAAAGATAGGTTTAAATTAAATGATAATTATGATAAATCAATTAATCATGGAGGAACAAAACTAGATCTAAATTGTAAAATAGATACTAAAAAAACCTTATTAATTTGGGCAGATTCGATGATATTATTATTTTTATATAATAAAGATGATACATGGGAAAGTACTGAAAGAAGAATAGATTTCTTAATAGTATCATTTGAATGAGATGTTAGAAATTAGTGGAAATGAATAAGTAATGATACAAAAATATTAATAAAGAGAAATGTACAAACAGAAATAATCAAATCAGATAGATAAGGTATAGAAAAATTAGTAGAATACATTTCTAATGGATTTTTAGGAAAAAAATTAGATAAGAAATGCTGAAAGAGAAGAAATAAGAGAAAAAGATAGTGCTAAGATTAAATTAATAAGTTTAACAATATGTGATATGTGTAAAATTAAATAATATTCTTGTGAATTTAGAAACTATTACTATGTTCAATTTTATAGTAATGAAAATCAAGAAGTATACCAAGATATGTACTATAATAAATTATTAGGTTCTTGGGGAATATATTTTAAAATAAAATTTGAAAAATATTTTAGAGATAATATTGGAATACCTAGAATTTTAGGTTCAATAATAAAATTTTTATTTGAAAGACTTGCATATATATGTCAATAAAGGTAATTAATGAAAAAATCAGGAAAATTAACTAGAATATGTTGTGAAGATATGAAAACCCCTGTGCAATGGGGATGTAATTCTGAAAGAAGAGTTAATAAAAGAAAAAATAAAAATAAAAAGTTTAAAAAATTTAGAAATTTTAATAAAAAATATATAAAATCTAGAAGAATGTATTATAAAAGAAAAAATAACCAATATAATCAACAGAAAAATAAGAATTATAAGAAAAGTAAAAGTTAATGTAAATGTTGGAATTGTTGAGAGATAGATCATATAAGCTCTAATTGTGATAAAAATAAAGTTAGAATATTAAAAAAAGAATATTTAAAAATAAAAGATAAATTAAGTGAAATATTAGATATTGAAAAATACTACGATCAAGAAGTATAAATAAGTGAAACAGAAGATGATGAATCAGGATTTGAATAAAGAGATTGAAGAAATAGAAAGTAATAATATAAATATACAAGAATACGAAGGAAAAAAAGGATATGGATTAAAAGTCACTTTTGATAATAACAAGTTTAAGAAATTGTAAAAATTATCATTAGACTTAAAAATAGGAAAATTGGAAGTTTTTGATAGAATTTGGAAAAGAGAAAGAATAGCAATAAATGAATATCATAAAATAGAAAAAATAATAGATGTAAGAACAACTTATGGGCAACATAAATTAAATCTTTTAACAAAAAACACAGTTGATGAATTATTAACAAAGATTAGTAAAAAAACAAAGTGAAAAAATCCAATATGTTTATTTAGCAGGAATACAAATAATGTTTATATCACTATTTAGAGAAGGGATAAATTCACCCTTAACCATAACTCTATATGATGGAAGAATAATAAACTTAAAAGATAGTCATTTAGGAACAATAGAAGGAAATTTAGCATATCAAAAAATTATGTTTACATGTTATCCAAAATATTGTGTATCATTGAAAGATAGAAACTTTAATGAAGTTTTAGGACTACATTTCAAGCTTCATAGAGATGATATTATGCAATCAGGTAATCAAATTATGATTATAAAATATAAAGCTTTATACACATTTACTAATTCTAATTATGGGAATATTTATTCCAATAAACCATATATTGAAGTTCATAAAGAATGTAAATATATTAGTAAAATAATATAACCAAATAAACAAATAAGTTTAATTCCAGAAAAATATGAATTTAGTATATCGAAAAATAAACTTGAAATAACAGAATTAAATGAAGGAGAATGTTCTAATAACATAACATTCAAGGATGGAAAATTAATTAAAAGATCAAAAAGTCTTAAAATACTTAATAAAAATCAGTTAGAAGAAATCAACAAAATAAAAGAGGTAAAATTATATAGAAATGCTAGAAACATGAAAATAGAAGGAGAATATTATAACGGAAGAGAAAATATAAATAAACCAAATATATTAATAGATACAGAAACTAGTGAATGTCATATAGTTTCGATTAGAAACAAAGAACTAATAACTCATAAAACTGAACCATATAAGTATGTAAATTTTGATGGACAAGTACGTATAACAGATTTAGAAGTTAAAGTACCAATAAAAATAGTAGGAATAGATTTTTTAGTACCATGTTATATAGATAAAAGTATGGATATAAACCCTCATATACTTTTAAGAATGAATTTTCTAAATGGATTAGAAGATTATAGTATAAAAAAAGAGGGATTATATATTGTTCATAATGGACAAACTACATTATGTAAAAAGAACTAGATGAATAATTAAATAAATTTTCCATTAGCTGTGTATATACAAATTATTATCGTTGAAACAAATATATCAACTTGTACTTTAATAGATACAGGAAATGATATAACAATATTTAAATTTTTTTTAATAAAATCATGGAATAATAATAGTAATATAAAAAAACTGGTGTTACAAGAGAAAGTACTCAAATAATTAATAGTACTGATAAAGTTAATATAATTTTTGGAAGTAAACAAGTAACGATAAATAAAGTTTATAAATATGATAAATTAGAATGTGATATATTATTAGAAAATGATTTTATACAAAAATTTCAATATTATAAACAAAATAATTATATGATAATGTTACAAATACCTTATGAACACTTATTAAAAATTTCTAGAGAATTTAAATTTTATAGAGTTCAGTCAGCCCAGCGTGGTAATAAATGGGAGAAAAAAACCAGTTTTTAACAATGAAATAAAAAATAAAAGAATATTATATAAAAAAGTTCTAAAAACATGAATAGAAATGAATATAGAAAAAATCATTGAACAATTAGAAAAAGTTTATGGAGAAAATCCATTATTATTTTGGAAATCATATCATCCAAAAGTCAAAATAGAATTAATAGAAAATGTTATAATAAGAGTAAGACCAATGATGTATACTATAGAAGATACACAAGAATTTAAAAATCAGATAAAATTATTGTTAGAACAAAAACTTATTAGATCTAATAATGGACCTAATCCAGCCTTTATGGTTATGAAATACTCTGAACAAATTAGAGGAAAAGCTAGAATGGTTATAAATTATAAAGGCTTAAACAAATATACTAAATTTGATGGTTACTTTCTACCAAATA